ATTCACTCATGGATTACCAATCAAGCCCAAGGGCCATATTAATCCGAGTTCGAAACATTTACTCAGGGATTACCAATCTAGCCCTAGGGCCATATTAATCCGAGTTCGAAACATTTACTCAGGGATTACCAATCTAGCCCTAGGGCCATATTAATCCGAGTTTGAAACATTCACTAAGGGATTACCAATCGAGCCCAAGGGGCCACATTAATCCGCATTTGAAACATTCACCCAGGGATTACTAATCGAACCCAAGGTCCATATTAATCCTAGTTCAAAACATTCACTTATGGATTACCAATCGAGCCCAAGGGCCACATTAATCCAAGTTCGAAACATTCACTCAGGGATTACTAATCGAGCCCAAGGGCCACCTAAATCCAAATTCTAACATTCACTTGGGGACTGTCGATCGAAAACAATCTCGGACGGTCCAAGATAAAGACCTATTAGGCAACGCTCGAATTTAAAAGGCTACGGTCATATTAACAAAACCTAGAACAATCTCAAACTAAAGGTATCAAGCCCAAGGGCCACCTAAATCCATGTTCGAATATTTATTTGGGGACTGCCGATCAAAAACAATCTCGTACGGTCCAAGCGAAAGACCTATTAGGCAACACTCGAATTTAAAAGGCTACGACCGTATTAACATGGCTCAAAGACGTCCGAAACCCATAACAAAAACAAGGCCTTCGAAAAAATTCTTCTTTATAACCATTTCTAAAAGCTGTCGCCGGCAAGCCTGTAAACCTAAGATATTTTGGGAAAATATTATCGGCAACACCGAACCCCTACAATGCCTTAACCCAAAGCGGTGATAAAGGCAAGATTTGTTTGGACTTTCGAACATAACCTAAGTTATTTTATGCTAATGCATTTTGTCCCTTGTGAATACAAGTAATAAAGCAAAGGAAAAATTTGAAAGGCGGAAGGGAAAGAAAGCCTTATATATATAATCTTTTTACAAAGGCCAGAATGGCTCGATACAGAAATCTACAATGGCCAAAACGGCCTCAAAAAGATGCAAAAAGTAAAAAATAAAAAAATCTAATGGCCTAAGCGGCCTGGTCCTCATCGGGGTCGGTGTCTTCATCCTCGGGATCTTCCCGGCCTTCAGATTCGATTAAGCTCTCGGAATCTTCCTCGGGAAAAGCCAACTTCCGGACCTTGGCTTCTTCTACTTTGGCATTATCGATTTAAGCTAGTAGGTCAAAATTCTGAACATGGACTCCATCGAGAGCTTCCCTTCGAGCTTCCCACCTTTTATGCTCCATCATACTTTTAGCCTGCACATGAATCGCCTCAACGTCAACCTTGAAATGGGCCACTTTAGCATCAGCCTTGGTCTCGGCCACAACCACCTCTGATTTGGCCGCTTTGAGTTCCTTAGCTGATATTGGAGCTCCTCGATCTTCTTGCCCTGCACCAAGTTTTTTTCTTGTGCAGCCTGAAGCTGGGCCTCGGCCGACGCCAGTTGTGTTTGGACAACTTCCTTTTCTGAGACTAAGAGATCCATATTTTTCTTGAACTCCTCGGCCTCAGCTTGTATCGTATCTACCTGTGCCTGGAGCTGCCCGATTTGTTCAAGCCTTTGTTGAACCTTCAGAATTAAATCGTTAGCCACCAAGTCCAGTTCGTCGTCACTATCTTCAAGTACTCGGTTTACCTGCTAGACCCATTCGACGTGCTCTTTCTGAGCCGCTTCTAACTCGGCCTGAAGTTTCTCACTCAGAAGCTTATAGGAGTCCCTCTTCTTAGTAAGCTCCCGAACCTCGGCCTCGTGTTGGGTTAATTCCTCCTGGAATCGGAGGAAAGTCTCACGGTGCAGTACCGAGGCCTGGAAGCATAAGGAAAGGTGTTAGGACTATTTGTAACTTCAAATTTAAAATACATAATAAAGGGACACTTGAAGTTACCAGATTCAAAGCCTATTGAGCTTCATTGAAAAGGCAGGGCGCTTCCACCACGTCCATCACGTCTTGGTCCTCTTCGGTCACCAAGCACTTAAGATAGCTAGTAAACCCCACAGAGGCACAAAAAACCCGAGCATCTTCCGGGATAGAGAAAACTATTGACCGCCTTCGGTCTGGGTTAACGTTCAGGGCCGGGAACCAATCCACCAACTTTGGGCTCGAAGAAGACCCACTGGCCCTCGATGATGGTACCTTCTTCGGCACCATCAAGTCACCGAGCCCAGTAACGTCCTCTGAGGCAACATACTCTAACCCATCCAAGAAGTTATGAATATATGTCCCCCTAAAGCCCCTCATAAGAAGGACCTTCTAGTATACCGGCCTCGTGGATCATGGCATCAGAGAACTGAGGAGACCCGGTAAGGTCAATCGCCCCAAGCGTATCTTTCGAGGCACATTCCTCTACTCGAGAAGTGTCGGCCCCGGCCTCCCTCTCGACTCCATTGGCTTGGGGAAAATTAGTCTTACCCCATTCCAGCTCGTATATCGCGGCTAAAGCCTTCTCAGCAGCCTCCCCCGCTTGAGGCAAAATAGTTCGCACCCGAGCCACTAGCTCGGAATTGTCTTCTTCTTCTTCTTCTTTGGACTCATCCCTTAATTGGCGGATTGAGTCCGATGGGAGGACGCTGGTACTTTCCTTAAGTTTACGCACCAGTCTCCTCTTTGGTTTTTTATTTTTCGAGTCCATAGTGCTCGGGGCCCTTTTTCTTTTCTTCTCATCACCATGCCTCAAAGCAGGGGACTCGAGAGGCACGTCCTCATCACTGGATGGAGGCCTCATAGCAACATATTTGGGGAGACCTACAAAAGAAAAAAGAACCGATAAAAATTCGACAGCGCAAGGAGAAAGTCAAACTTTATTGAATCAGAAAAGAAAACTTACCATAATTACGGGCCTCCCACCGACCCTTCGACAATTCTATCCATGCACGCTCAGAATATGGTCTCTGTGACACAATATCCTCGACCCACTCCTTGAGTTGAGGAACGACATTCGGTATCCAAGTCACAACTGCACCACAAAAACACCGATAAGAAGTAAGGGAAGGGGAAAAACAATAAATAAAATCTTTAAGGCAAAGTTATACTTACGCTTCATGTTCCATTTCTCGGGAAATGACATGTCCTCGACAGGGATCAAGTCCGAAGTCTTTATTCGAACGAATTAGCCCATCGAGCCTTGGTCCCGAGCCTCATATATACTCGAGAACGGGGCCTTACTGGCCCGACGAGCAAATTTGATTAATCCCCCTAGAAAAAGTCGGGGACTGTACAGGCGCATAAGATGATCGAGGGTGAAGGAACACCCCATTATTTTGTTTACAAAGAAATGGAGAAGAATCACTATCCTCCAGAAGGAGGGGTAAATTTGACTGAGGGTCACCTCGTACCTCTTGCAGAAGGCGATAATGACCGGACTAAGGGACCCAATGTGAAAGGGGTAAGTGTAAATACTTAAAAAAATCCTCCACGTAGGTAGTAATTGCTTCCTCAGACGAAGGTACCACCACATGCTTATTGGTCTAGTTGCAATCCTTTTTTACCTTGGAAAGGAGATCCTCGTTGATCGAACATATATATCTCGAGACCGGCTCGCACCGACTTGGTACCGAGGAAGTTTTTTTGACCTTGAAATCAGCAACGGTCGGACACCCTGCAGGAATGAACTCTTCAGGGTGTGGTTCCGCCGCAGTCCCGTCGCCGGCAGATCGTGATGAAGAGGCAACCTCCTTTTGTGGGACAGTCTTAGAAGTTTTCACCATTTTAGAGCAGAGATGAAGAAGAGAAAATTAAAAAGGTACTCTTAGTGGTTTGCAAATGGTTCAAGAAATCTGGGTACAAAAGTTGGAAAGATTTTTGAAGAACAAGAATAGAAGGAGCTTTGAATGTAAAGTTTGAAGGAATGAAAGTTGGGATATTTATAGTCTGCTAATGACGGTTCAAAACCCGTAATGGACGACAAACAATTGACAAGCATTTAATGTGTTGGTAACTGGACCGACATGACGTTTCAGTAACCGTTTGTCGCTTACGTCATGATCTATCGAAGCGGAATTCGGAAGTTCACATCGTTTCTCGTCATCTTCTCTCTGAAAAGTGAGGGGACTATCTATACATGGTCGAAATCGGGCTCGCCCTTTGAGTGACCAATCGAGACGGAAATATGACAGATTAAAGCTCGATCTTGAGTTATATCGAACCAAGGTGCGAAGATACATCGTTGAGCTCGTGACCTCGGGACCAAACGAGATCGAGACCAAAAAAGATCGAGGAAAATTTGCCGAGCCAAATAACAGAAGGCCGGAAAATCTAGGTTCGAAGTTCGACAAAACCATCAGATTTGCCCTTGAGTTTACCGAAGGCACGACCGATCCTGCTTCTGACGGCCTCGAAGAAAAACTTTGCCAACTCATCCGAGAAGGATCCGTGATTCTCGCCATTAACCAATCATTACGGCAGAAATCACGGAATTAAGTCAAAAAAGGAGCCAACGGTCTATATAATAGAGAGAAAACTGAGTAATTCAGGGGGAGATTGTAACATACTTCCAAGAACAACATACTATTTTTTTCAATTTTGTTCATATTATTCTGGTTTCAATAATATCATATCTAAATTCGAAGGAAGTTAACCCTACAAGGCTTAAGTTGTTCAATCTGCATGGTTTGTATTTATTTTTCTATTTATTCTTCCATATTAAATCTGATTTCTAGCTTTGTATCAAATTAGATCACGTATCCTTAAACCGCGTATAAATTCAATTGTTATCCGATTTTGAGGGTAAACAGTACCTGTTTTACATTTTTTATCTTCTTATAAATGAAAAGGCTTTTATATCTAGTAAGTTAAAAAATATGCCATTAATTAATGATAATAAACTGGGATGCTGAGATTAAATAGTTTTTGAAATGAAACCTCCTATTTTATTTCGAAGCAAATTAAAAAAGAAAAATATATCATGTAAAATGAGACTGATTAATGAGGCAAGTCCAATCCTCATAGCCCAAAATATCCCTAGGCCTTCTAACCACTGAAGAATAAGAGCGGGCGGCGCAATCATACAAAAAGGGTTCCTATATTTCAGCAGCTACACGCCTACAGGGAGAGAGAGAGGAACAACGAGAGCCATCGCCTCCAGCGTGCTGTAGATTGAGCGATTATTCCGGTTAGGAAATGGATCCAGAAAGCGTCGCAAAAGCATTCGTGGACCATTACTACTCCACCTTCGATACCAATCGGGCTGCGCTTGCTAACCTCTACCAAGAAAGCTCTATGTTGAGTTTCGAAGGTCAAAAGTATCAGGGATCTCAAAACATCGTTGCCAAGCTCACCAGTCTCCCCTTCCAGCAGTGCAAGCACCATATCAGCACCACCGATTGCCAGCTCTCTGGTTCCAACGGCATGCTTGTCTTTGTCAGCGGTAATCTCCAAATCCCCGGCGAAGAGCACCCCCTCAAGTTCAGTCAGGTATTTGTTGCTAATTTTTGGTTTCCTTTCCATTTCTTACATTGCGACGTGCTAGCTGGTTAGGGTTTAAATCTCATGTCTGTATCAGATACCATTTTCTGGTTTAATTTTGCGTGTCCTAATGTGTGTTCGGCGCATTAATTCGATACGGATGCTTGCTCCTATGGTCTGATTCTGTATTGCGATTGATTGCTCATCGCTGGTTTGTCTGGTTAGGGTAAAATCGCTTGTCTTTCTCAGATCCCATTTTAGGGGTTTAATTTTGCGTGTCTTACTTTTTTTTTGGCGCATTAATTCGATACCTAGGCTTGCTCCTATGTCCTGGTTCTGTATTTGTGATTGATTTCTCATCACTGATTTGTTATATAGCATCTTAGATTGGTTGCTTAACAAGGAAGCATTTTGTTGGAATCCTATCCTTTTTCATGAATCTAATGATTATTGAAGACATAATTAAGTAGATAAAAGTGTGCTTTCCCAAGACATGGTCACACAATTCAATATGGTACCAAGAAAAGGCAGAGGTTCTGCATCTGAGTCTCACCACCAGTGTTATCAAAGGCGAAAATCGCAAAAAAGCTCTAAGGTCCATTGGGGCTTTAAGCGCAAAGCGCAAATAAATAGTAGGCTTTAGTGAGAAAAGGCGCAAGGGAGGCAAGATACAAATATATATGTGTAGTCCAAGAATAATAACTATAAGCATGAATAACAAATACATAGGCAAGTAAATTGAAAAAAGAATTACAATAAACTGAAATATCAATTATTTCTTGTCGCCTCTTCGAGATTACGCTAATTGGCAAGGAAGAGTTACCTTAGAGCCTTGATGATTACACTAAAGAGCCTACTAAGCGAGAGGAAGCGCTCAACTTGTTTTGAGCCTCACTTTAGAGCCTTTGACAACACTGCTCACCACCACTATTATAAAAAGGAATTTGCATATACTTAGCTAAGCTTTAGTTTAAAAAGAAATGAGTGGCATGGTTCTATAGCTTTTTGATTTGGATTGGCTGGAGCAACTTTCGAATTGTTTGTTAGATTTGAATTTGTGTTTGTTTTAGTGCTCTTTCTTCTTGTCCTCGTATTTGATATCACTTCTTTCAACATGTAAATGAGAAAATGTGTGTTTATAAAGAAAACGAGTGACGTGGTTCTGTAATTGGTTTATTTGAATTGGCCGGAGCAACTTTCCAGCTAAATAGTTGGAAAATTGCAACTTGAAATAAATGCTAAAGGCTATTCGAAGACAAAAATAGTGACTTCAGGAAAAAAGAATCAATCAGATCTAAACAATAAAATAACTTGGCTGTCCACATTGTGAATTTCCTTGTCACGACTCAGAGCTCGTCGAATAACCCAATGCACTAATGAAAGGTTTAACTGAGAAGTACTGTCATTCAAGATTGAAGAAAGGTCAGCCATAATCTTATAGATGCATTTTTACAAATTATTTTAGCTACTGAAGCAGTCATAAGATATCACATACAAATTATGTTTCTGAGTATTTCGAAGTAACCCATGTTGGAGCACCTTCACTGAATTCCAGATGCTTCTGGATTTGGTAGACGGTTCTTTTGGATGATTTGAAGCCGGATGGACATTATGATGTAGCTGATGTATGCTGAAAATCGTGTGGCATTGGTCTATATGTCCACATGCTTGTGAGGATAAAAAGAGGCAAGTAAGGAATGGTGTAGCGGAACTTCTGAAGACGAGTACAATGAGCTTCTTTAATCCCTTATTTGAAGAGTGCTTTGTTTATTGGGATTCTAGATCTAGTCTATGAGGGGTGTTTGGATCTTTACTTTCCCATGCTCTGTTTTTTTTAAATTCCTGAACAGGACAAGGGTATTATTAAGTTGGTTTTCTTCTGTTATCTCTATTTCTGTGAATAGTTTAACAAATGATCAATAGTATGTGTTGTAGAATATCATCTTTATGGTTCCTTCTTACTTAGTCATGCTATAAATAATGGTAGGGTGTCGTGCTTTGACTGGTCTCGAAGTTACTTTATTGGACTCGCATCTAATGTTGATTGTTTGGTCTTGGTTTGTCACTTTTTGTTTGAAAAGCAACTAGCTTTGGCAGACCTTATCCCACAGAAAAGTAGATAAATAAGAAGAAACAAAACAAAATCAACTATCTTTTGCGGAGAGTTTTTCCTTTCTTTCCCGAAACAAGAACTGTTTGTTTTTCTCTTGTTCGTATTGAAAAACAGCTTGCTATGTTCAATACAGAAATAGAGCATTCTTTGAACTGGTGGTTTTGGCTCAGTCCCTTAAACTGATTATGCAGACAGATTTTGTTTGGGTCGTTGCTTACATATTTAAGGAGATAAGAAAGGAATTTTCTCGATTTTCACTTTCTTTTTTTATTTTTCTTCCTCTTGCACCTGTTCCTAATTTCCCAAGACATGGATGTGTTTGCTGTTTTGTTGATCATTCAGAAGAAACTAGCAGTGATGAGTTTGTCGTCTGAAAATATTTTATTATTGAAGGACTAATGTCTTAAGTTTTTGGAAATTTGCATTTCTGGGTACATTGCTTCAAAGTTTAGGCATCTCAAATTTCTTATGTCATACTTGTATTTTTTCATGGACTGCAGATGTTTCAGTTGATACCAGCAGGTCAAGGAAGTTTATATGTGTCCAACGACATATTTCGTTTGAATTACGCATGAAGGGTTCTGAGTTGAATTGTCTCTTGGTCATGTTTTCTTGATTGGTTTGTCTAAAACTAAACAAGTCAGATTATAACTTCTAGCAAGATATTGCTTCTGTTTGATATCACAGTCAGTATAAGGCTAGTTTTCCCGTAATGGTTTGGTGAATTGATTGATGCAGCTTGGCGACAGTTTGAATTTTATGGAATTGAATGAGTCCTATCTTGCTTCCTGATGTTATTTTCTTGCAAGTTCCTCTCTTTCACTGCTGTCTCTCTCTCTGTTGTTGCTCATCGCGATTCCTCACTTTCTCTTTGCTGCTTTAAGCCGTGATTATTTGGTGGATCTCGAGACATGAAACAGTTGCGTTGGGAGTGCTTGCGGTGCCTGAGGTTGTTGAAACGTGTGCCTAAATTGTAAAGAAAAAGGTTGTTAAGACTTAAGATATGGTTTGTGTTATCAGGTCCTTGGCACTAGATTCTTATCCATTGTCATGGCTAAATATTTATATAATTGATTTAAACTTTCCGAAGCTTAAGGTAGTCCTGTAGAATTTGATACTTACGCTTTAACCAATAGCTTTGCTATATCGTATATGAGTGAAGTGCTGTGGTAATCCTAAAGTATGATGTCTATTTGTTTCTTTTTTGTCCGAGGGAAAGTAACGTGGTCGTCTTCCCCTTTGGTAATTAGAAGTTTCAAATGAATATTACAACAAACAACAACAGCCCAGTAAAATTTTACTAATGGGGTTTGGGGAGGATAGTGTGTACGCAGACCTTACCCCTACCCCAAAGGAGTAGAGAGGCTGTTTTCAAAAGACCCTCGGCTCAAAAGGACAAAAGGAGACAATATTAGTGTCACCACAACAATTATAGGAAAAATAGGAACACCATGAAATGCATAAGAAAGATGCAAAGCAAAAGCGATAGCTAGTAAATAGGACATGCACTGAAAAGCGAAGTAGTAAAACACAACATTGTCACTAGCTATCTTAGACAAAAACCCTACCTGGTTAGTCCCACAATGGTACGAAGTAAGTCAAGACTCAACTACATCCTAAGACCTCCACATCTTCCTATCAAGTGTTATGTCCTCGGAAATCTGGAGCCTTGCCATATCCTGTCTGATCACCTCTCCCCAATACTTCTTAGGCCGCCTTCTACCTCTTCTCGTGCCCTCCACAACCAGCCGCTTACACCTCCGTACCAGAGCATATGGGCTTCTCCTTTGAACATGTCCGAACCATCTAAGCCTCACTTCCAGCATCTTGTCATTAATGGGAGCGACATGCACCTTCTCCCGAATAACATCATTCCTAATCTTATCTATCCTAGTGTGCCCGCACATCCACCTCAACATCCTCATTTCTGCTACTTTCATCTTCTGGATATGTGAGTTCTTAACGAGCCAACATTCAGCCCCATACAAATGGCCGATCTAACCACCGCTTTATAGAACCTACCTTTGAGTATTGGTGCCACTCTTTTGTCACACATGACTCCAGATGCTAATCTCCACTTCATCCATCCTATCCCAAATGAATATTGAATAACATAAAGGTCAACTAACTAGCCTAAGAGCAGACTTACTGCTATACTATTAGGTACTTGGAGTCCGGAGGGCAAGAGTGAGATGGTTGGGAGAATCAGAGTTTTGATATATTAACGCAATCAGAGTTTTGATATATTAACACATAGGTTCTTTATTGGTATAGTAGTACTACTTTGAAATCCAAGTGACGATAGACGGCCATTTTCCCCTTTTCCCCGAGGTTATGAATGATGGTTGTTATTTGTCATGCATGTTAGGTTTTGCCTCTCTTTTTTATTTTCAAATCTCCGTCCTAGTTAACGACTCTATTATGATCTGAAGATTGACTTATTGATCTGTCATTTGTTTGCGAAATCTCTTAAGTTTTGCTAAGTCCTCTCTCTTGTTGTATATTTCCTTCTGGGGTCTGCATGATTTTAATTACTAATAAAACGCTTCTCTTCTATCATTCCTATACCGATTATTACAATGCCACGAAATCCCTAACGCCATGTGAGGTTGATTATGCACAGTCCAAGAGTGCTTTTAATATTTTCCCTTCTCATAAAACAGTACGGAGTGAATTATATATGCATCTCAAATCCTAGAAACATTCACTTCTGCAGCTATACAGCTGTTGCTTTGAGGGAATATAATTGCACCTGCGTGATTAGTCAAAATAGAACTAGATAGATCAAGGTGCTAGCACAGGTAAGAATATACGTTATACTACGATTTTGAACTTTTGGATCTATCATTTGAAAACCGAGAGAAAGAACTCTGTCATATTTGATTACTTGAAGGACTTGCTAGTTGATAATATAATCAAACCCCTTCTGATATATAGAAGAGAAAACACAAAAACAGTGGGAGGGTGGTGGGTCTTATGTAATTAACAATATGTGAGTAGTAAATCGCAAACAAAAGTTTGTGCATATATAAACAGGGAATTATGAGAAGTAAATAAAGCGTTAGTGCCCACAGGTCTCGCACTAGATTGAAATTTCAGTGATCAATGCTGCTGAAAGTACTGAATACAAAAATAGCAAATGAAAAAACCCTTCTGCATGTTTAGTACTAGCTTCTTATATTATTTGCTGTATTAGCTAGCTAATTAAACATAGAGATGCAGATTAAGAACAACGAGCAAAAGAATGAGAAGTAAACCAAAGAGGATAGCATGAACCAATATGGAAATCCAACTGGTCTTCATGTTCAAGAAATCAACGGGCCGAATCTTGCCCGGCATTTGAAAGAGTAATCCCGGAGATAGAAATGCAAATAGCGATGTAGCTATGATCGGACCAGCCCAATCATTCATATTTTGTGATCTTTAGCTCTGTATTCAACTTTCGGCTAGAAGAAAAGAAAGAAAGAGAGAAAATTTACAGTAAGCAAGTAGATATGAAAAGGAAGAGCTTTGGAATATGATATCAATGGCGTGAAAGTAGAAAATGATGAGAATCGCATAAAGTAAAGGAATATATGAAAATATCAAACACTTTCTAGTTTATTCCCATCTTGTAATATAACTTACTAGAGAGTACTACTTTAATAGTTATATAGTGGATAAGGCAAACCCATCCATGATGTTTCGACAGACACCAACCGGACAAAGCTTAGCTGCCTAACAGGGCTAATTGGCTATTGTCTTTGCCTGCAATTATGCGCAAACTCACTACTACACCAAAACATACTATCATAAAAAAAGATCAAATTTACTCCTATGATCAACTGTGACATTCGTTAAAATTGTGGTCTAATTTTACTCTGTCGTTAGAAAAAGTTTCATTTTTTTCTCGACTTCTTACCTCGCTCCAACCAGAAGTTAATTTTAAATCATAATAAAAACTTATAGGTAAACAAAACTTTTTTTTCATGAAGAATTTGGGCTACTTGAAGTTCATTCATTATTGTTAGGGTGTATACGGTCGAAATCGAGCTCGCCTACGACATGGTAGGTCAAGTTCGGAACATGGCAATAAAGGACTGAAGATCGACCCCAAGTCCCACCGGGCTAGAACCCGGGGTTGGAGCGCCTGCCTTCGAGAGTATCGAGATCGTGATCCCGGAATTGATCCCAGCCCCGAACGAGTTTGAAGAAACATTGTTAGCATAACAGAAGACCAAAGTATCCGTGACTGGTCTGATATTACGGCGGGAATCTCGGCGCGTATCAATGAGGAACAGACAATCGGCAAATCAAGAGATTTTTTTACCTTTTATAGGATTGTACCTAAAGTAGGACTCCTCTACTATATAAAGGGGTCTGATAATTCATTTAACACATTGTAACACGCATTCCAAAGTAATACATTATTATTCTCTTTAAGCTCTTATTCTTTTGCGTCTTGATATCGATCGAAGTACATTCAGCTCGAGGGTGGCTAACATTCCAAGGCTGAAATTATCCAATTCGTGTGGTTTGCATTTACTTTATCGCTATTTATTTCAATTGCAATCTAATTTATCGTTTTGTGTCAAGTTAATCCACGTATCCTTAAAACTACTTACAAATTCAATTGTTATCCGATTTTGAGGGTAAACAGTTTGGCGTCCACTGTGGGGCTAAGGATAATAGTGGTTATTTGATATAAATTTCCATAATACATACTACTTTACACTTGTTCTTTGAAGTGTCTCTAATTTCAGGTTAAAGCTTAAAATGTCAAACTTTCAATCAACACCCCTACATGTTGATAATGAGTCCGACCATCACGGTGAAAACAACAACATAGTATCCAATGACGAGGTACCGCCCGTTAATCCCATCAGAATTCCTGTCGCGAACCCGATTGACGCTAGTTCACATGTGGCTATCAATACAAATCTGCCTACCGATCCCGAGAATAACGTCCGTGGTAGAGCCTGATCGGCAGCTCAAAATACAAAAAATATTGGAGGAGACGTGATTAATTTACGGATGATCTTTGAAATGTTACAGGCTCAACATGCAAAATCGCGCACCGAGCAGAGTTGAGCTCGAGCCATCCCGGGAAATCACCCGCAGGGATGAACCGGTCGCAGAGAGGTCGAATGAAAACGAATCGGGGACTAACCCCGAGATCATAAAGATTATCGAGGAACTGACCAAACGGGTAGAATCGGGGGAGAAAGAAAATCGAAGCTAATGACAAAAAGGTAGAAACCTACAATTCCAGGGTTGACCAAATCCCAGGTGCACCGCCGATTTTGAAAGGCCTGGATTCCAAGAAGTTCATCCAAAAACCTTTTCCTCCGAGCGCGGCTCCAAAGCCGATCCCTAAGAAGTTTCGCATGCCCGAGATTCCTAAATATAACGGAACGACCCACCTAAACGAGCATGTTACCTCCTACGCACGTGCCACCAAAGGGAACGACTTGGAGGATGATAAGATCGAGTTTGTTTTGTTGAAGAAGTTCGAAGAGATCCTATCAAAGGGAGCCATGATATGGTACCATAACCTACCTCCTAATTCTATTGACTCATTTGCTATGCTTGCAGATTCCTTCGTAAAAGCACATACCGGAGCTATCAAGGTCGAGACTAGGAAGTCAGACCTCTTCAAAGTAAAACAGAGGGATAATGAAATGCTTAGAGAGTTTGTGTCCCGATTTCAATTGGAGAGAATGGACTTACCTCCGGTTGTGGACTATTGGTCCATTCAAGCTTTCACCCAGGGACTCAATGTTCGAAGCTCGGTGGCTTCACAACAGTTGAAATAAAATTTGATAGAATATCCGACCGTTACTTGGGCCGACATGCATAACCGGTATCAATCAAAAGTCAGAGTCGAAGATGATCAACTTGGGGCCCCTTCGGGGTCCGTTTATCCCGCCAGAGCCGTCGATAGAGCCAAGAGAGACATTGATCATGAACCAAGATCAAGAAGGGATCTTTATCAATCGTACAATGAGGATCGAAGAGGTAACGAATCCTGGAGAAATCCCATAAAAAGTGAAAAGAGATGTGATAGAGGTCAAAGTAACCGGGGACTCATGGGTAAGAACGGTTTCGATAGGCCTATTGGGCCTAAGGAAGCACCGAGGTTATCGGGATACAACTTTAACGTCGATGCTGCCGCCATTGTATCAGCTATCGGACGCATCAAGGACACCTAATGGCCTCGACCTCTATAATCCGATCCAACCTAAAGGGATCCTAACCAGATATGTAAATATCACGGCACTCACGACCACAGAACAGAGGATTGCCGATAGTTGAGAGAGGAAGTAGCCCGACTATTCAACAACGGGCATCTTTGAGAATTCCTGAGTGACCGAGCCAAGAATCATTTCAGGAATAGAGATTCTAAAAAACAGACCGAACAAGAAGAAGCCCAACACATCATTAACATGATCATTGGTAGGGTCGATGTCCCTCAGGGTCCGATGTTAAAGCGTACCAAAGTATCCATCACGAGGGAAAAACGGACTCGAGGTTACATACCGGAAGGAACCTTGTCTTTAAACGATGGGGACGCAGAAGGGATCGTGCAGTCCCACAACGACGCACTGGTAATATCGGTACTCATAAATAAATCTTGAATTAAGCGTGTGTTAATTGATCCAGGTAGCTCAACCAATATCATTAGATCAAGGGTCGTGGAACAACCCGGCCTACCAGATCAGATCATACCTGCAGTCCGAGTCCTGAACGGGTTCAACATGGCATGCGAGACCACTAAAGGGGAAATAACATTACCGGTGAACATCGCCGAAATCATGCAGGAAGCCAAGTTCTATATAATCGAAGGGGATATGAGATACAACGCTTTATTTGAGAGGCCATGGATTCACAACATGAGAGCCGTACCCTCGACATTGCACCAGGTGCTGAAATTCCCAACATCCGAATGAGTCCAAACAGTTTATGGGGAATAACCAGCCGCCAAGGAGATGTTCGCGGTCAATGAGGTGATCCTGGCATCCACACTCCCGACATCGAAGTATCCGAATCGAATGGTCAAAAATGGGGCCAAATAGCAATCACCGCTATCAGCCTCGACGGAATCGGATGAACGAAGAGTAGAAGAGGACGAGGACTACGAAGTCCCCAGATCTTTCGTAGCCCCCGATGATTCTGACGCTATAAAATCAACGGTCGAGAAACTGGAACAAGTCGTACTGACCGAACATTTTCCCGATCAAAAGGTATATCTAGGCACGGGGTTAAGCCTCAAGCTTAGGAAAAAACTCATTCAATTTCTTATAGCTAACGAAGATTGTTTTGCTTGGTCCCACCTTGATATAACAGGGATCCCGCCAGAGATAACCACTCACAAGCTAAGCCTGGACCCGAAGTTCCACCCGGTCAAGCAGAAGATGAGGCCCTAGTCCGAGATCAAACATGGTTTCATCAAGGACGAGGTATCTAAACGCCTTAAAATATGGTCCATTTGGGAGGTTAAATACCCAGATTGGTTAATGAACATAGTTGTAGTCCCTAAAAAAAGAAATAAATTGAGAATGTGTGTAGACTATAAGGATCTGAATAAGGTATGTCCCAAAGATTCCTTCTCTTTGGCCAACATCGATCGCATGATCGATGCCACGGCTGGCCACGAGATCCTCAGTTTTCTCGATGCCTATTCCGGGTACAACCAAATACGAATGAACCTGGGTGATCAGGAAAAAACCTCCTTCATCACTAAATACGACACATTTAGCTATAACGTGATGCCATTCAGATTAAAAAAAGCCGGTGCCACTTACCAACGCGTAGTAAACCAGATGTTCGAGGAACAAATAGGAAAATCAATGGAGGTTTACATTGACGATATGTTGGTTAAGTCCCTGCGAGCAGAGGACTAGTTAAAATATTTACAGGAAACGTTCAGCATATTGAAGAAATACAATATGAAGTTGAACCCAAAGAAATATGCGTTTGGAGTTGGATCAGGTAAGTTCCTCAGATTCATGGTATCCAACCGGGGAATCGAGATCAACCCCGACAAGATCAAAGCCATCGAAGATATCACGATTGTGGACAATGTGAAGGCCGTGCAAATATTAACCGGACGCATAACCGCCCTGGGGTGATTCATCTCGAGGTCCTCCGATAAGAGCCACCGATTCTTTTCACTATTAAAGAAGAAGAATAACTTCTCTTGGACCCCAGAGTGCCAACGGGCCTTGGAGGAACTCAAGCGGTATCTATTGAGCCCACCGCTGCTTCATACGCCGAAGACAGATGAATATCTATTCCTGTACTTGGTAGTATCAGAGATAGCAGTAAGTGGAGTCCTGGTCCGGGAAGAGCAAGGTACGCAATTTCCAATTTACTATGTTAGCAGGGCTCTAGGTGAGGTCGAAACTAGGTACCCTCACCTATAAAAATTAACGCACGCTTTGCTAAGCGCCTCTAGGAAGCTGAAACCATATTTTCAATGTCATCCTATATATGTTGTGACTACTTACCCATTGTAAAATATAATGCATAAACCCGAGCTCTCGGGACGATTGGCCAAATAGGCTGTAGAGATCAGCGGGTACAATATTGAATATCGACCCCGGACCGCCATTAAATCTCAAATATTGGTGGACTTCGTGACCGACTTTACGCCGACCCTAATACCCAAGGTCAAAAGAGAGTTGTTGGTGAATTCGGGGACGTCCTCGGGGATTTGGACCCTTTTTACAGACGGTGCCTCGAACGCAAAAGGGTCCGGACTTGGCATCGTATTGAAGCCACCAACAGGCAATGTAGTTAGATAATCTATTAGGACTGATAAATTGACTAACAATGAGGCCGGATATGAGGCCATGATTGCAGGTCTCAAACTAGCCAAATGCTTGGGAGCGGATGTGATCGAAGCTAAGTGCGACTCCCTCATCATGGTGAACCAAGTTAATAGGACGTTCGAGGCCAGGGAAGAACGAATGCAAAGATACCTGGATAAGTTGCAGGTAATGTTACATCGGTTCAAGGAGTGGACTTTGCAACACGTACCTCGGGATCAAAACAGTGAGGATGATGCCCTTGCTAATTAAGGATCGTCGGTCGAGGACGACGTGTTCAACTTAGGGTCAGTCGTACAACTTATGAGATCAGTAGTGGAAGAAGGCCACGCCCAGATTAACTCAACGATCCTAACTTGGGATTGGAGAAACAAATATATAAAATATCTGAAGACCGAAAAATTGCCCTCGGATCCGAAAGAATCTAGGGCCCTGCGTACGAAGGCAGCCCGATTTACTTTGTCTGAAGACG